CTTGGATTCAGGCTGCGAAGCTTTTAAGCTTGTGGAGACTGGATATGATAAGGTTAGAGAACCCTTTCCACTTTGATCCCGTGGCCACAAAATCCTTCTGTGTTTTAGGATTCTGGGGAATGTCCCAGAGTATGTTGTATGTAATTGCTATGAATAGAGAAGGTTGCTGGACCCAACTGAGTGGGATATAGAAGGGCCATTCTTATATTGTGTTGTGCAATATGGAAAAATGACCCAGAATTATGGTTGGCCTTTGTGTGCAGTAGAATGTGGTGGCAGAACCCTGCAGTGGTAGGCTGCATAATTTAAGGCAGCATGTACAGAATGCCATTTCTACCTCCCCCCTACAAGTAAACAATAAAAATAATAGCTCAGAGAGGAAAGGTTCAGTCCAAGCTTGTTCATTGCTATTCTAGTTTTCTGACTGGAAGTTTTTTACATGGGGTGTAGTGTGTTAAAATAGCATACCCCACTCCAGTAATTTGAGTATGGCCCATTCTACCAGTATAGAAATCTGCCTTTACATTTTGGTAGTGTAACACTGCAATAATAGCTAACAACATACAAACATGGCTGACACTCATACTCTTGGATCCTGTGAGAGATCCCCACTGGTAGAAGGTATTTCCTTCCTTCAGACCAAGATGTCCTTCCTGCCTGCTGGTGCCCACAATGCCTACTGAAGTGGTGCTTCTGAACCCATAGGAACACCATGAGTACTAGAAGGTCAACAGTGGGAGGGGGATGTAGGTGAAAATGTCCCCCCTTTTTGTCAGGAGAAATTTCCCCCTGGATTGAACCTGCCTGTTTTTCTGCTGCTGACCCGTTTTTAGGATATAAATTACTTTTGCTTTTGACACAATTCACCAAAGCAGAATGGGGGAAGGGGAATTTAAGGAAAAGGACCAAGGAGATGCAGACGGAAATTGATTGGGAGAGAAGCAAAGGAAGTGGCTACTTCAGTTAGGCTGAAGCCACAAGATTATGGCTCCCTTATTCCATCTTGGTTTGAAAGGGAATTTGGGAGAGCAGCCACTGTCGTCTGGGGTTTTGCAAACAAAGATGGTATGTATGGGAGGAGTAGGTAGAACAAACATTGCCTTTTTATTTTTTTTACAGATTGGTCATTCTGATCTATCTATCTTTTCTGCAATGTGCTGTTGGGTCCTAATGTTTCGTTGCTTCTTTTGCTGCAATGTTATGTGAAAACAATATAAAAATGTACTACAGGTGCTTATGAAAGCTGTGGCTATCGCTAATATTTGATTTTTCAGTCCCTTAGAATTATGCATGAACTATGGCTTTGTTTTTGGCTCTGGGAAAGTCACTGGTTTAATGACTCATCCTGCAGAATGTGGTCACATGTGCTGCTGTTGGTGCTTCCTATTGCCCTATTTTATCCAATCTTTTGAACTAGTTATATAATTGTGAATGAAGGGGGGAAGGCCACTGGTGCAAAAGAGCTGCGGCTAATATTACTAACCTCCTTTGACTTGATGTGCCAGAAATTGTGATTTAACATGGATAGCAGATTTCTAGTTTGAGAAAATCCAGGAAATTAGATTCTGCTTCCAGTGCTGGGACTGCTTAGAGTAAATACATTTAATCTTTAGTCTATAGGCTCGTTTGTTGTGACATCTCTGTTGCCACATGCTTCCCTAATGGGCCTCTCTGTACTAGAAAATGTATCAAGTTCACGTTGTGGCCTAGAGTAAGCTTGCGGCAAGAGAGAGGTCAGCTGTGGTTCAGCTACACTTGTTGCTTGTGTGAATATCAAATAAATATTTGATATCAAATAAAAGAGCAAATAGCTCTTTGCCCTGTTGATCAGACTATACAGTTCAGTCCTTTTGTTTCCTTTTAAAATGCTTTGTTAGAACAGAGGGTTTGATTTCTTTTATTCGTAGATTGGAACTGGGGGAGTCAGAGGCTTGCTGGCTTATGAAATGGTTCTTGGCATACTGTGACACTGTTAGATTCAGATCAGCGTTGTCCTTTTTTTCTTACCATATCCTGACTAGCAGTAACATATGGACAATTCAAATGTACCCTTTGTAGCACAGGCGCTGGGTCTGCATGGTCCATGCTGTTTGAGTGAATATTATGGTTAATGAGGAGGTGATGGTGACCTGGTAAGTAACCACATTATCCTGACTCTGTGGTTCTAGTTTTACTGAAACAGTATAGGGCCACATAGAAGCTGCACCCATGTTGCAGACCTGCTTTGAATTGATCCTATCCAGAGAACATGATTTTCCTGATTATAGGAAGTCCTTTACAACATTCATTTTGGCCACTAGGAGAATGTGAATTGCTGGTCAGGATCGTTGTGTGTGAGAAACTGTGCCCATACTGACATTCCTCATTTCTTTTCCTGCCTCAGTGGGTTCCTGTGGTGCAGTTTGTGCATTTGTAATAAAAACATCTGTGACAGGCCTTTTCTATCAACTGAGGGTACCCATACATGATTTGGGGAACCAGGCTGGTTTTAAGCTGTAAGCCTTCCCCTCACTTACAAGACGTTCCTGGTGTGGCAGTTGTAAAGGATTCACTGCTGTGAGGTAGGTTTTATGGTGAGCAAGTAGAACATGGAGATCACTGAGACAGGAGTTGTCTGTAAATAGCAAAGAAGTTTTGTTTATTTACAGGTTGTTTTAAAGAGCAGATCAGCAGCACAGGTCTCCTGGTAGATAGAGGAGAAACCTGGTGGAGGGACAGAAACTTAACCTAGTTATGGCTTCAGAGTGTGGTCTGAATTCTCTTTAATGCTTACAGGTATAAACAGGCTTTCACTGACTAACCACTAGGTTGCATCCTTTCACAAACATACAGGATTCCACCCATATCAGCCTGCCCTTTCCCAAGAGTCAGACTAAATGGTACGAGGTCTGCTCACCAACAGAGTTGGGTCTAGCGACCCACTACTCTATCCTCTCCCAGAGGTAGAGCTCAACAGCTCTGCCACACGACCAGGCCGAGCTGCCCTTCAAACTATCTGTTATTTTTCTGAGGCAGACCCAAAACTTATCACTGTTCAGTGATCTGTTCAGAAAGATCTGAACTAAACCCTGCCGTGCTTCCCTCCCACTTCCCTCCCACATTCCATCCACCCCGTGAAAGGATATTGGATGCTGAAGCAGCACTCCCATAGGCTCAGCTGAGTGGGGCAGGGCAGCCTCCAGTCTGTCACAACATCAAAGAATAATATATGAACTATTTGTGGAAAGTGCCTCTATCTGCTGTGTCAAGGAACAGGCCAGAATGTTTAGAAGTGGGTTGGCTGGAAAGGTTCCACATGTCACTAGAACTTGTGTGTGCGTGTGTGTGTCTGTGTGTCTGTGTGTAAGACTGGAAATGTTGTCTGTTTAACGTCTCTAGGACGGAGATGTTGTCTTGGAGGCCAAATGATCAATAATAGGAATATAGGAGTTGGATCCAGGGAAGGTACTAACAGTTGTGGATCTTTCTCAAACTACCCTGCCCCCAGCAAAGCTATTCCATGGCTAAGTTTATTCCTGGGGTTGTGGGACCCATGTGCACTAGTGGTGTGGGTTGGATTGCTGCATAGGGAAGGGGGAAGGGCACAAAACCACCCTTTCTGCCTTTGTGTCAGCCCAGCTCAGCTGTCAGAACAGGGAAGAGAGGACAGTTCCACACCTTTTGCTATCACTTGTTCAGCTTCCTGACCCATATGGCTGTTAGTCTACACTGTAGACTCTATAGCAGGAGTGTCAAACGTGCAGCCCATGGGCCGCATCAGGCCCGCACAGAGTTTAAAACCAGTCCCCAAGCAACTTTCTTCTCCTGCTTCCTTTCCCAGGGCTCCTCCTGCAGTTGCCTAGCTTGCTTTTTTCTCTGCTCTCTCAATGGCTCTTTGTTTCCTGTTTACTGCCTCTTGCCCCCCCCCCCCAGCCTCCTGGCTGCTTTGTGCCAGAGAGGTACAAAGAAAAGCCTGCCTGCCTGCCCCTCCCCCCTCTCAGAAACACACACAACTTCTGCTTTCTTCTTTGGGACTGCTCCTCTTCTTTTGGGGGGGGGGAAGGGAGGAGGGAAAAAGAAAGAGAGAGACTCAGCTTCTGCTTGCTTCTTTGGGACTGCTCCTCTTCTTTTTTGGGGGGGGGGGAGGGAGGAGGGAAAAAGAAAGAGAGAGAAAACAAAATTGGAGTCCCGGCTTTAAAACCAACAACTTTGTGGGAAAGTGGGCGGGTGACAAGCACAATGTACATTGAGGAAATTATTTTGGCTTATTCTGAAAAGTTTTTTTTAAAATAAGATTGGATTTCTCTGTACCTATCTGGATTGATTTTCTTTCAAAAAGACCCTGATTAGGAATTAGAACACTTGGATTAGTCCTTATATCTTGGAAAGTGGAATGATTTCAGATGCCAAATGATAACAGCACACATTGGTAATGAGACAGGAAAACTAGGTCTCAATGCAGTCGAAATTCCTGCTACTCTTAGGTCAGCAACTGAATATTGTGGTTTCTAATAGACTTATATCCATCCTTCTAGACTGATTCCTTCTGGATGGAATTGAGACCTAGATTTCCTGTCTCATTACCAGTGTGGATATCTCCATGCCTACTTCCCCTCTGCATATCACACCTAATCCAATCATGCCTGCTATTGTCATTCGGTGTCTGAAATCATCTTTATAAAGTTTACATCTCTGGTATCTTGTGTTACATTTTATAGCATGCATGGCCCGGCCCAACAAAGCAACATTTGTGTCAGATCTGGCCCTAATAACAAATCAGTTCAATACCTCTGCTCTACAGGGTCCCATGACCTCAAGAATAAACTTTCCCGGGGTTGGAAAGAGCTGTTGGGGCATGGGGTGTGGAGAAAAGATTCATAGTCCTTACATCTGCAAATCACCTGACCCAACCAGGAATCAACTCTCTGAACTTGAATCCAAATTAGTATGTGTATAAAAAAATGAAAAACCTTGTTTTGATGGATGCTTTTGTACAGCTCACTGTAACTTTGCATTTTCAGACCAGACCCATGAAGCAGTTTTTAGCAGCGATCATGTGCAGCATGGTGAAGATGGGGAATGGCAACGCTCTACTTCAACTACCTCATCTCAGAGTGAACAGGCAGAGAAACTGTTGCAGAATCAGCACAAGAGCCTGGCCTCTGAGGACACCAAAAAGAAGAGGGCTCAGAAACCTTCTCACATGAGGAGGAACATAAGGTGAACACCACTGAAAAAAGTACTTCTGGAATAATAGGGACTCTGGACACTTTAGCAGGTTGCAAATCACCCTCTAGTTTCTGGTGACATGTGAAGAGCTCCTAACAAATGTTCAGGTGGGAAGGAAATCACATTAGTGAGGTCCTGAAAAGGAAAGCTATGGTACCTCTGGTAGTTATCAAAAAGGAAATGCTTTTATTGCTTCAGATATATTAAACACAAATTTAGAAGGCATCCAAAGAGACAGTATTGTGTAGTGATAGTGACAGATCTAGAGAGATCACCAGCTTTTCTGTCCACAGACAGCTCCAGATATGTTGTTTCACCAGCCACTTATGTCTCTCATTTGGAGATATCCAAGTCACAGGAGAGCATTTACACTTGCTAGAAATCAAGCTTTCCCTTCAGCAGTTCTAGAAGGACAATATTAAAAAGTCCCGATGGAAAATAGGTTATACCCTTGTAGTATAGGGGAGATTGAAAATATAGAATATGTTCTATTTCGTTGCCCTTACTACCAAGAAGTTTGTATTAAGTTTGTCTCCCCTATAATTAGTAGGTACCCTGGCGGTCCAGAACCAGTGTGTACGAATTCTGTTAGCTGAGGAAAATCTGCTGATTTGAGCAAGTAGCACGAGGTTTCCTGCGGTCGCTTACAGAATTTGGCAGATAAAGAAGGTTTAAGAAAGGTTAAAATTGTACTTTTAAATATTTTTAAAATATTTTATTATGTTTTAAATATTATATTTATTAATAGTCTTTTAAATTGGAATATATGAACCTGTTTTATTCTGTTCTGGTCAAGGACCATTTTAATAAAGATTGATTGATTAATAAAGATTGACAGTGTGTCATGTTAGGACCAGATAGCCATGGTTTCAAATCCTTACTAAGCCATGAAATCCATTGGATGATCTTGCACTAGTTGGAGCCTCTTTACTTTAATTATAAGTAAAGAGAGACAGCGTTCTGTGCGCCTTGGTGTTTAGTCATGCTGGCCACATGACCACGGAAACGTCTTCGGACAGCGCTGGCTCTTCGGCTTTGAAACGGAGATGAGCACCGCAACCCTAGAGTCGGATTCGACTGGCTTTCGAGCAAGGGAACCTTTACCTTTACCTTAAAGAGAGACAGCACCTAGTGCAAGTTGTATCTCTCAACCAAGCCTCCCTCAGAGGGCAATTGTGAGGTTGTTGAAGATAGGAAGTGGAGGAGAATGTTTCAAACAACCTTGAGCTCCTATGAAAAGGAGCAAGAGAAAGGTGGAGCAAAGAAATTCATAATATAGATCACTTGGTCATTGTTATGCTGGTTGAAAGAAAGCTTATTTGTAGTATCATCACGTGAGAGAAAGAATATAATCTGATGCTCTTTCTTCTCAGCCAGCATCTTCTTTTGAGCTCTAGCAAGAATTAAAGGGAAGTGCAGCCTTTCAGCAAGAAGTCTGATTTTCTTCTTTCTGGCATGTTTGCAGTTCACAACTGTGGCACATTCAAGACAGGGGCAGGCAACAGTTATTTTCTTCTGGAATAATAATTTTATAAGCAGTTTACCATCCAGAAGCAGTGTGAGACTGCAGGGACCAGTAAGAGCCCATGGTTTTACACAGGGTCTTCCTGGTCCAGAGAGCTTTAACTAAGGGCAGGGAAGAGGTGAAGGTCTTAATCTCCCCTTTGCAGCTTATGGCACCCCCTAATAATACAGTTGAGGGCCTTCCTGCTGTTTTTTCCTGCTGAGTTGTTTGTTAATTACAAAAAAATTAACAGTACTAAAACCCTTACAGAGCTTTTATATTGCCCTTTTAAAGACTACTTTGCTTTTTATTCTGGTCCATTGCACATAGAAGTCATGTTTTCCGTAGTCAAAAATCAGTTCCACAAAATATTGTATTAGAAATTACAAGAACAATAGGATATCCTGTTAACTCCAGAAGTGGTTCTTTTAAATTTGTGGTCTGATCCACCCCCAGCAAAATATGCTCAGGAACTGATTACATTGCTACTTTCGGCGGCAAAGACAGTAATTGCTCAAAAATGGAACCAACCAACAATTCCTACGGTACATCGATGGATTTCTAAATGCTGGGACTTACTTGTTGCAGACAAAATTGCATCCCAGATAATAGCAGCAGCTTCTCCAAAGTCGAACAATCACTTTATGGAAAGATGGTTTCCCTTTTTTTACTATGTTTCTAATTGTTCATCCTCTTTGTATAAGTTACCTACAAAATATAAGAATATCGCTATATATTGATTGTGTAAGAATCTCTGAAATTGTCAAAAGGTAAAGAAAAGTTAAAGTGTACCTTTTCTAGTAGATAGTTAAGTTGTATGTTTTAGTTAAAATTGTTATATTATAAAAAAATAAAAATTATATGTTAAAAAAATTAGTTTCACCATCTTGCTCTAGCATGTATTAAGAAAGATCAACATGTTAGTGTATCTTTCAAGCCACAAATATCTGTGCTTTATTTGGCTAGAAGATTATGGCCTTTAGGGATTTTCTCTTGTTTGTGTGGAGGCGAGTGTTAAAAGAAAAAAGGAATTAATTCCAAACAGAATAGATGAATTTGTTTTAAAATAATATATTTTGTGTTTGGGGACTCAGAAAACTGCTGCGGGAGGACCAGTTGGAGGCTGTGACTAAAGCCGCCCAGCAGGAGGAGTTAGAAAGAAGGAAACGACTTGAGCAGCAAAGGAAGGATTACCACGCCAGCATCCCCACATTACCTCTGGAGTTTCTCCCAGGTAAGCAGCACCAAATACTGAATGTAGCTCAAACCAAGGGGTGGGAACCCAAATCATGACAGTACTACTTTCAATCCTGCTAGCATGTGACACTTGTTCCATCATTCCCCTTAACAGAGGCGGTTTCAACAGTAATTAGCCCTTGATTTGGCTCAAGGTGGCTTAAAAACCACAGTTTAAATCATACAGACTGAAGCTCTGAATACCCCCCCAAAAAAATGGTTGCACTCTGGCTGAGTTCAGACTGGATTAAAGGGGCCGGTTCACACAGGCACAGCTGTCAGGCGTTCCCCAGCCATACTCAACCCATCCTATGACGATTCCCTACCACGTTAAAAAAGTACCAGGTGAAAGCGGTAGCAAACCCTGGAGAGCGCGTTGATCCCGCTTCCCGGAAGTGTGCACGCTAAAAGCCGCAAAAAAGCTGCATAGGCGCATGTCGCTGGAGTGAAAAAAAGCCACTTACAGCCGTGCCTCCGCTGGGGTGAGCCAACAGTGCGAACGCTCCCTTGCGCCTCCTCCCTGGTATCCTCCTGCATCAGTAGGTGCAGTGCGACCGAGAATCCCTGGCACAACTTGGTCCGGGTCTTTTTGCCCTGCCTCCCTCGTGCTTCATACTGCCAGTCTGTCCTCAGGCTCTATATCCTATTAAAAGCCCTGGCAGATAAGGTGGCCATGCAGCATGTCCTGTTTTTAAAATTATTTTATATTAAAAAGAAAAACAAAAATCAACCTGAAACATATCATAGTCAGAGAAATATAAGGACCAGGAAAAGTGGAAGTCGAGTTGAGACTGTACACTGAAACAACCTTAACATTATCAATAGAAGGAACAGAAATTTTAAATATTGGATGCAGTAAGAATCATCTAACGTGAGGTACCCAGATATAAACACATTTTGTTCTCCAGGGAATGATGGAAAGTATACCACAGGGGGAAAAACAGTCAAAGAGTGACATACAGGGAGAGATGGCCATTTGTTTCTTAGCTTGCTGGAACATGTCAACCAGAGGCTTAAGAAATCAGGCAATCTTTTTCATAGTGTATAAAATCGCATTGTTGACTCATTATCATCCCTTTTAAGGTAAAATGGATTTGGAGTCTCTGTGGTCAAAACTGTGACTACTTGTAGCATCTGATGCAGAAGCTGTTCAGAGCTGGTTATACTGAGAAAGAGAGGGCAGTAAAGGAATCAGTTTTGTCAGTTACGTGCTAGAAGGTCAAGTGGAAATGTAGGGATAAAAGCTTTTTTGTACAATTGCTGTTTGTAAGTAATAATCAGACTTTTTTCTCCCTTTCTTTCCTGTGGTTTGGGCGCTCTGGGGTGTGCCACATCAGTTGCTCCCCTTCACCCCCAAGGACACCCAGTTGTGACTGATAGGAAGACTTCCTTATTATACTACATTGATTATACTACCATGAGCAGTTAAAATAGTTTCCTTCAATTACCCACTCTTGAGCATCATACATAAAGTCGCCTGTGTGCAAAGGAAGGGTTTTGCAAATCGAAACAGACAGAGGTCATTTTATTATTGCAGATTTAGTTCATTGGTATCCCACCTTTCTCCCCAACGTGGACCCAAAGTGGCATACACCATTCTTCATTTTATCCTAGCAACATCCCCGTGAGGTAGGTTAGGCTGAGAGTGTATGATTGGCCCAGGGTCACCCAGCAAGAAATAATCTAGGCGAGAATATTCTGATTCCCTTCATTTTAGCAGCTGTAAAGCCCATGATCATCCCAAGATGGTGGCCAGGTTTGAAACACCTACCTATATTTTCTGTTAAGTTACGCTTGCCACAGACAGACAATACTAGTTTCCATTGCAAATACCATGGGGGGTGATAGTGTGGGAGATAACTTGGGCCAGGGTATTCCAGTTCTCTTTATTTTTGGTACTGCATCTCCCGCAATCATCCTGAATCTACTGGCCATTTTTGAGACTCCTAGCTTTATTTTCTGGTGAGCTATGTTTGCCACAAACAGATGGATGGACACACAGTCCCTTTAATTAATATTAGGCAATAGCACACTTGCATAAGTCTAAGCCAGTGGTGAAAACAAGGGAACATTTTTTTGCCTTAACTCCTTTTTGATTTATCACCTAGTGCTTTTAGTGTTACTCATACATTATTGTTTGCTATTTTGATGCAGAGGAGATTGCTTTAAGAACTGCAGAGGTTGCTCAGCTTCCTCCTCAAGTGTTAGCTGAAGAAGTCATCTGTTTAGACAGCACCAGCAGTGGCAGTGAGGACGATTCTAAAGGAAGACTCCACAGCATTAAAGATGGTAAGGATGAATGGTAATCTTCTGGCATTGCTGCTTACAACACCCTTCTGTCTCAGTCAGCTGGATCTTGTGGGCTGGAGCCCATGACGCCCTTCTGCTGAGTTGGAGCCACTAAATTGGAGTGTTTGACTCTTATTTGCTAAGTCTTCAGTCAAGGGAGCAAAACTTCCTCCAATGAAGAATGTTTCTTTCTCCCTGACCTGAATAGCCTAGGCAGACCTGATCTCATCAGATCTTGGAAGCTAAGCAGGGTCGACTCTGGCAAGTACTTGGATGGGAGACCTCTTTAAAACACTGGAGGCGGGGGCAGGCTTTACTCAGCCACCTCTCTGAATATCCTCCAGGCCCCCAGTAGGGGTCAGGCACCAGAGGTTGCCATGACTTCCAGGTGTACACATACTCACACGCGCACAAATGCACACATGCACATAAAAATACGAAAAAAATACGAAAAAAGATTTTTTTTTCTGATGGAGGAAATTCTTCCCTTGTTGAAGGAGGTCTTTCTGTGTTGGAGGAGGATTTTATGGAAAGGGGGATGGGTGTCACGGAAATCCATCTTAGCAGAAGGCAGTCTGAGTATCCAGTCCTATGGAAAATTTAAAATGTGTTAATATCTAGTGCGCATCTTGAATAAGTAGTATTCAGGCTGTCCCCAACTCAATTTTTGGAACTCTGTCAGCCCAAGACATTTTACATTAGGATAAACAGTTTGTTACAGTGTACATTTGAATAATTTCATTTGACACTGCTGCTTTACTAAAACCTTAGTTTTAGACTATAGACCTCCTTGCATCTATGTTAACATATAAACCCATAAAATAACTAAAATTAAAAAGTACTTTTTGTTTGCCATTCACATAGTATTAATTGTTATTGTTAAATTTATAATCTCCATATACCTACTTAGCATTTTACATGTGTGCTGATTTGAAAAATGTTCATGTTTTCTCTCCCTCCCTTTCTCTTTCCAGAGGTAAATTAAGCAAAATAATGCTATTTTGAAAACTATTATGCTGGCGCGTAGAGTAATTGAATGTGCCAGTGTGACATGTTGGAATTTTTGTTCACTGTCAGTATATTTTATAGGTTCCCTGAAAGAGGGAGAGAGAGAAATTACATAATACAGTTTTAAATGTTTGTTGTTATACAAAATGTTGGATGTGCTAACCCCCCACATTTGATTGTTTTGTAGAAGTGATAGAATTAAGTTCAGGAGAAGATGAAGCCCTCCAAATAGTAGACAGCAGTGATTCTGGCAATGAAGGGGATGAAGATGCTACTGAAGAAAGCAGTGGTGCTCATGTGAATGATGCTTTAAATCAGTTAGATGCTTCGGGGCAAGTAATTGTCAACATCAATCATCCTCCAAATGAAGAGGACATTTACCTGGCTCCACAACTTGCACGGGCAGTAAAGCCTCACCAGGTATTGGAGGCTTTGGGTCTGGACACAGAAGGATTTTGAGACCTTACCTTCCAGAAGCTTTATTCTAGTGTAACAATTTATAACACTCAGTATTTTTTAGCCTCATAGAGCTGTATGTACATGTGACTAGATGCAGACTCAGTAATTGTAATTCATTGATTTCCACCCAGATACCTGTTATCTCTTTGGTGGTAATGTATGTTACTCTTTCTAGATTGGTGGTATCCGGTTCCTGTACGATAATCTGGTGGAGTCCCTGGAAAGATTTAAAACCAGCAGTGGGTTTGGCTGTATCTTAGCCCACAGCATGGGGCTGGGAAAGACCCTCCAGGTCATCTCGTTTTTGGATGTACTTTTCCGGCACATCAAGGCAAAAACTGTCTTGGCCATCGTACCTGTAAGTTGGCAAGACAAAAATAATTGATGAATTTCTTTATGTGGTGTTTAAGGGTTCAGGAGGAGGAGAAGGAGGATGACTCTTTAGAATTCAGAAGACGCACTTGATAGTTCATGACTTTCATTTTTAACTCTTTAATTCCTCCCATCCATGGGATTATACAGAAGGCCTAGTTCCCCCAGGCCCCCCTCCCCCATTGAGGAACACATGCAAGAACTACCTATACTTCGTGGTCATCCTTAGTGTTTCTCCCTGATATAACTGAGAGTGAGGAGAGGTTTCTTTCTGATTTTTAACTGAATGCATTGTAGGTTATGTTGTACCTAATATATTCACATAAAACAATGTAGTGTAAAATGTGCATATGCATAAATACATCTCTGGATTTAAATCTGATTTTGTGTTTTGAATGCACAGTGTTCTTGGGCTTTGGAGTTCTGTGGTTTTTAATATAAGCGCCTTTTTCATTCAGAATGCTAAATGATATGACTTACTCCTCCCCTCCTTTGCTTATAGGTAAACACTCTTCAGAACTGGCTAGCAGAATTCAACATGTGGCTTCCAGCACCAGAGGCCCTTTCTGCTGATTGTGACCCCAAAGAGATTCAGCCCCGAACCTTCAAAGTTCATATCCTGAATGATGAACACAAGTGAGTACTATTAATATCCTCATAGAGATATTGTGTACATTTATATGCTGCCTTATGTGATCCTCAAAGAGTCCTTAGGGCACTCTACAAAATATGCATCTGTGTGCAATAGATTTAACATTCAACAATAAGTAAAACTATGAAAGTCAGAAGAGGCTACTCCAAAAAACAGTACTCGCTGGCATATGCTATGCCAAAAATCTTCTGAAATTGCCCTGTTTTATATGCCTTTCTAAAAGCTAACCATGAATAGCTTTTTGTAGAGCTGCCTCAAATGAACGTAAGCCTGCAGAGTGGTTCCTGTTGGAGAAAGTAATCACACAGGTTTCATTTACCACCACCTCATTTCTTCAAGAGATAATTTGGAAGCCAGCAGTGTTACTTGAATACAAATGCCAGGTGCTCCATAAGGCTGAACTTCTGCATGTGCCTTATTTTGGTCTAGCTGAAATTTCCAAATGGTATTCAAAAGCTGCCATATATAGATCACGAAAGAGGAGTCCAGGTAGAGCATGTATGGCATTGGTAAGATCCACTTGCTTAGCTATGATGGAATGGATGATAATCAAGTAAAATCTATTACCAGTGTTGAAAAGATGGAAAACAGTACGAGTAGCTGAGGACTATTCATTCACTGTTAAGTAGAGGTTTCCCTAAATTCCACCATGTAAAGTCTATCTAAAGCATATTGTTTAATAAATAAAAACATGAGATGTCGTTCACTACTGCTGAATCAAACTTACAGTGCAATCCTACCCAAGTGTTCTTAGCATTCATTAATAGAATAGAAATATATGCTGTTTTTTGTTGGTTGAATGGCAGTCTGGTGAAGAAATTATATGTCTTTCCCATCAATAGGTTACCTAATTGACCTGGTTAATAGTTTTAATACATGTGTTTTGTTATGTTCAGAAGCACTGATCCTTTTGTGCTTTTTGGATTTCTGTACAGGACCACAGCAGCACGTGCCAAAGTGGTAACTGATTGGGTGACAGATGGTGGTGTGCTGCTGATGGGCTATGAGATGTACCGTCTCCTTTCCCTGAAGAAATCCTTTGCCACAGGCAGGAAGAAGAAAACGAAGAAGCAAACTGGCCCTGTCATTATTGATTTGGATGAAGAGGATCGGCAACAGGAGCTCCTAAAAGGTGAGAGGTTTTTAAAGGCTTCCACTTAAGGGGTGTGCTGCTAGTTTTACTAATATGTAGCCAGAGGCACATTTCAGAAGTGGAAAGGGACCCCTTCAAGTAAGTTCCTCTGCTTGTACTCAGAAAGGAGATTTACCTGGTAAGACCAAATCTTTATTACTTACAGGTGTTAGTTGCTTAGAAACAGAGCTCCTGTATTTTTTTGTGTGTAGAACCTAGACCAGGGGTGGCCAAACTTGCTTAACATAAGAGCCACATAGAATAAACGTCAGATGTTTGAGAGCCGCAAGACATGAACAAATATTACACATTTTTACTGGGAAATATGCACATTTCCTTTTTATTAACATTAAATGAGACTGCCAAAAATAACAAAAGCAGTAAAAGCAGACATTGATAATGATATTTATTTGTCCAATGATAATTTGTTTGCTAATGATATTTAGCTTCCCCAGCCACCCTGCCAGGAGCTGCACAATATGTGTGAAAGAGCCGCATGCGGCTCCAGAGCCACAGTTTGGCCACCCCTGACCTAGACTGAAATGTCTGTTGGCCAATACTTTCACTGGCACAAAGTAACCCCTTCAGGATGAGTTTTATATTTGTTATAGTTTTACTTCCAATGAAGGTTCTACGGGGACAGTTTTAGTTACAAAGAGCTTGTATTTCCAAGTGCTTGTTTTGCTTGTTCATTTATTTTCAAAATGTGTACCCCACCATTTTGTCTCTCTCAGCCCAGAGAGGTGGTGCAGAAGGATCCCATGACTGATGGTATCCAAAGTCACTGAGAGGTCCAGGAAAAATTGACTCCCTGTGTCCATCTACTGGCACAGGTCATCCACCAAGGCGAGAAAAAAAGGAGGAACAAGTTGGAAGGGAGAGTAGTTGATTTGACCTTTTAGATCCCAAGGCCTCAAAGGCCAGGGCGAGGAAGGCCACTTGAGTCCCATAACCAGGCCTGAAACTTGAAGTTATCCAGCCACCACCCAACCCCCTTGCTCAAGAATGGAACATTTGAAACTCATCACTAGTTACTGACATCTCCTGGGTTCAGTGTAGTCTTCTTTAGTAGTGGACACAGCACAGCCTGTTTCAGGGTGGGGGAAACAACACCCTTTCTCAAGGTGTTACTGTGTTCTTTGGTTAGCTCATGGGGAATTTTTAAGTGACATCAAAAAGATGGAGCCATTGCCCTCTGTCAGACTTGAATAGATATCCCTGAAACTCAGTTGTTCTTTCTGGAGTTTTCTCAAACTTCATAGTGGAGTTTTCACTTACTCATTTTCCTTTCTGTTAAATTAAGAATTATGAATAGTACATTTCTATGTGTTTTCCTCTTCCTTCAGGAATTGAAAAGGCATTATCCCGCCCTGGTCCAGATGTGGTCATCTGCGATGAGGGACATCGGATAAAGAATTGCCATGCCAGCACCTCTCAGGCCTTAAAGAATATCCGGTCTCGGCGGCGGGTGGTACTGACTGGCTATCCTCTGCAAAACAACTTGATTGAATACTGGTGTATGGTGGACTTTGTTCGGCCAGACTTCCTTGGTACCCGGCAGGAATTTAGTAACATGTTTGAGCGCCCCATCCTAAATGGGCAGTGTATTGACAGCACCCCGCAGGATCTTCGTCTCATGAGGTATCGCAGCCATGTCCTACATAGCCTACTGGAGGGCTTTGTACAAAGGTGAGTCCATGTTAGTGTCGCAGAACCTCCGTTTTTTGAAGTAGCTCTTTAAATCCTGTGGGCTGAGTAATGGAACTTTGGGCATTGTTTTACCTGTTCAAGTCAGGCAGCTGGAAACTAGCTAAAGAATAAGGCTTGTTGGATTGGAAGTTGCATTCATCATGCAGAAGAGGCTGAACAGGGTTACAAATAAGTTACTTAGAGACCAACAAGAGTTTTGGAGTATAAGCTTTTGGGAGTCAGATCTGACAAAGAGAGCTGTGACTCTAGAAAACTTATATCCAGGAAATCTTATTGGTCTCTGAAGTACTAATGGATTTGAATCTCGTTCTTTTTCTGCACACCAACATGGCGACTCTCTGAAATTGAAAATAAATTACTGTGAAGCCTAACCTTGAATTCGTAAATTTACATTTTGCCATAGAAGTCCTGCCAATAAGTATACAGAAGTTTGACGTCCTTTGTATTTCCAGATTTCCTGTCAAACTCTTTATTTATTTACATATGAACTGAGGCTGCTGTGACCTATGCTGTATTCCTTGGGAGTAGGGGTATATTTCTTAAGAATGCTTGTAAGGAGCTGTGTCCCACACATGGAGGGATATCTTCAGTGGTAACGTTTTGATGTTTGCATCATTCAGTATAACTTTGCAGCATGAATAGCAGTATACTTAATAGCCTTTCCTATCCAGGACTGTGAAATCTTTTGCCAAGATGTGCTAATTTAAGCATGGCAAATTCAGTTTGAATTGTATAAATATAGTCTTATCACAGTCTGAAAAGCTGAGGAAGTTACACTTTGATCATTGGCCTACTATGTACAGAGTATATGTCCTGCTGTAACGTGCCAAGGAAATCCGCTTCAGTTAATGTGTTTGTCATGGTTGAGATTTTGTCTAACTGTTCACCATAGCATAGAAAACTGAAATCTTGCCCTAAAATCATCTGTAAGGTCTCCAGAGTGTGAACAGTGCCTCTTCTGACCCATTCTGTGTTGCTTCTATAGGCGAGGGCACAATGTGCTGAAAATTCAGCTTCCCTATAAGGAAGAACACGTCATCTTAGTGCGGTTGTCAAAGATCCAGCGGGCTCTTTACACTGAGTTCATGAACCGGTTTCGAGATGCAGGCAACAGCGGCTGGCTGGGACTGAACCCCCTTAAGGCTTTCTGTGTTTGCTGTAAGGTGTGTATAAACAGAGAAAGGGGGTGATGGTCCTGTGCAGATTACGCAGCAAAAGCAGAAATCCCCTGTGTAGGGATTATGTGGGGATTAGTGTCACAGTTTTCATGCCTTGCCATTTTCCTTGTATATCTTGAATACTGTTGTTTTTTGTTTTGCTTTTAACATCACAATGATGACGACAAGCAAACTCAGCAAGACTAAGTTCCTGCTGGTTAGTATTACATTTTTCGTGAATGCTGCTAATGTTATGTTACAGAGCTTCAGTTTGTGATTTATTTGAATTTGTGTATTTTTACTACAGTGCTTTGAAGACTTGAAGATAAAAGCTGCTTAGGAAGTAATGCGATATAAAAATATTTCTATATATTTAAAGAAACCTTCATAAAATTGTCAGATTAAAGGCTTCTAATTTTATTTTTTTGGAATGCCTTCTTTTGTCCCCTTCCTTGTGTACAGAATAACTATGTTGCAAGTCCCTTGAGGACATTGATTCATATATAGTTTGTGATGAAATTGCTTTTATCCTGTACTCTTCCTCCCCCCAATTTTGTAGCCTATAACTATAAATAAACAGAATACTTTATCTCTCCTGGGTTACTCCCTAGGAATTACTGTTTGATAAATGGATTTCCTAATTATTTAGTGGCAAAGTGACATCTTCACAGTTTTCATATACTTACAAAGTTATGCCTCTTTCTTTCAGATCTGGAATCACCCTGATGTATTATATGAAGCACTGCAAAAAGAGAATTTGGCAAATGAACAGGATCTAGATGTGGATGACCTTGGCACGGCTGGTACCAATTCACGCTGCCAGTCACAGGCAGTGAAAGGGAAATCTGAGAGCAATGCTTTGGCACCACCAATTGGAGAGGCTACCAACAGCAAATACATTCAGGGTATTGGCTTCAATCCCTTTCAGGAGAGGGCCAATCAGGTTGTCACTTATGAATGGGTGAGTACAAAAGTCACAGTTCCAAATGAGGTTGCTGCCAGTTCTTTCTCCCAGTAAAAAGGAAGAGTTCTCAACCTAACACTGCAACAATTTCTTATAGGTTTCCTGTGCATTGTTATGGCCGTTGATAAACTGAGCATGTCCACCTCATATCTGCCATTCCCCTGTGAAGATGTTTGTAGGAAATGTGTACATTGTCGCATGTGAAATCAGGCATGTCAGTTAGTTCTGAAACAGTTTGTGGAGTGCAGTAATTTTAACTGCACATCATTTGTGACAATGTGTATGATTTTCTACAGGTAAGAAAAAATTTCATACATGAAAGAACCTGACATAGCAGTGGTATTATCCTTAATCACTTTCTTACTTGTCATAAGGAGCCTCTTGTCCTGCTGCTCTCTTTGTTGTGATCAAGGGCGATCTGTGAATCTCAGTGGCTGTTAGTGCTGTGTAGGCATTTAAAGTCATTTTGAGCAGATACATGGAAAACAGTTTCTCTGCTTTTCTCAGAGTGTGGCTGTCATTCAGAACTTTAAGCAAATTGGCTAAAGTATAGTCTGAGTAAGATGAACGTGCAAACAGTGAGCCAAGAGCCAACAACTCATGGTACTGAAGAGTGAGTTCTGCCTGCGAACTGTGATCGAATTTGTCTACAAAGCACTACCAAGAAACTTGAACCCCCTGTGTTTCCCTGTCAATTGCCACTACAGTTGAGGTGTCTTATGCTAAAAATTTCCAGGTATGAAACACAGGATGGTAAAAAGCTTCTTAAGAGGGAGATTATGAAAGTTTGTTTCTATCCCTGTTTTTGAAAGACTTGACACTTACGTCATTATTTTGTGTGGAAAATTTGTTTCTGGATGGAAGGCTTATTTTCACACATGGACTATAATATCGAATTAATTGTCCAGTATTGCCTAGTATTCTGTTTCTGGGGAAGTTTGAGTAAAGTAGGAAATTGTGGTGTACTAGATTCATCACTAGAATTGTATAGACTTAAGTGGTCACTTGTGACACAGCAGCAAGCCTCTCCTAAGGTACTGAGTATTCTGTTCACCTACAGGCTAAGGACATCCTTTGCGACTACCAGACAGGAGTCTTGCAGAACTCACCCAAGATGGTGTTGCTGTTTCATCTTGTGGAGGAGAGTGTGAAACTTGGAGACAAAATATTGGTCTTCAGGTAACAGGCACGATTACTGCTTGCTGTTTTTATGTCTTTGATGTTGCTGTGATTTAAACCACTCCCAGCATTCTCCTCTCCCCGTATAGAGTGGGATGGAGTAGTTAGAGTGTCAGACTAGGATCTGGGAGGGCCCAGGTTTGAATCCCCACTCGTGCCATGGAGGTTTTCTGGGTGGCCTTGGGCCAGTGACATTCTTTTGGCCTAGCCTACCTTACAGAATTGTTATGAGGATAGAATGGAGAAGCGGAGAATAATGCAAGGTGCTTTGGATCCCCTTTGGGGAGAAAGGTGGGGTATACATGAAGTAAATTAATAAATATTTTCAAAGCTACCCTTCAAGACTGTTGAGAAACTACTGCGAACCTAGAGTTCACTAGCCAGGCTCCTAGCTGGGACTAGCCAGAGGGGACCATATTACTCCTTGTACTTAAAGGTCTGCACTGGTTGCTAGTTTTATTTTTAAAACCCTCAATAAATTAGACCCCAGTTATCCAAACTAGCACCACTTCCTGTGTATTCCTTCCCATGTTCCAAGATTGTACAAATATACTGTTGGGCATACGAGGGATGGGCACGAACTGGCTCACGAGCCAAAATTCGGGCCGAACCTGGGCCGGTTTGGAGCTCAAGGCTTTTTTGTTGTTGTTGTTGGGAACTATCTCAAGGGCTTCGGCCACTAAGAAATCAAAATTTCTCCTCTTTCCACTATCCTTTAAAATAATATTAACAAATGAGTTGTATCCATGGGTTCCCTTCCACTTAGAGGAATGTTCTGTTATGTGAAGGACTCCTTCTGAGAGAGGAAGACTCTGCCCATTCATGAAAGAGTCTTCCCATAAACAGAAGATTCCTCACTTAGTGGCCCATTCATGAAAGAGTCTTCCCATAAACTTAGTTGAAGAGAGCCTTGGGATCTGACCCATTTGCCCCTTCATACAGAGCCATGGTTGAGTAGCTTATCTGCTCTTAATTCCTGCCAGTACCTCATGCGTATGGTGCAGGTGAGACACCCATTCATTTGTGTGAAGTTGAAAATCTTGTGTAGTAAAGTACCAGTCCAGACAAGCTCTTAAAGTGTGAACAAAGCCTAACTGTACTGCAAGGGTTTTGATTTTCTCATGGCCCATCTGAGCTGACAATTTGTCTTTACAGCCAGAGCCTCTCCACATTGTCTGTCATTGAGGATTTCTTGGCAAAGAGACCAGTGCCTTCCCCCCCAGGTGTGGATGCACATGGACTCCATAACTGGGTTCGAAATGTGAATTATTACAGTAAGTACAGCGTGTCCTTGCACCAGTCATAGTGCAGTCCTAAGCAGAGTCATCCATTTCCAAGTCCATTGAAGTCAATGGGCCTAGAAAGGTGTAATTCTGCTGCGGATTACGCTACTAATGTAGTTGTTGCAGGGCTGACCTTCCTGTTGTTGTTGTTCAGTCGCACAGTCGAGTCCGACTCTTTGTGACCCCATGGACCAGATCACGCCAGGCCTTCCTGTCTTCTGCCGTCCTCTGAAGTTGGCTCAATTTCATGTTCGTTGCATCTATGACACTGTCCAACCATCTCATCCTTTGCCGTCCCCGTCTTCTTTGACCTTCAATCTTTGACCTTCCTGAAGCGTATCAATTTTCTGCAGTTTCTCCATAATCCTTTCTTTGGTTTCCTCTGGGCATGTCCACGGTTTAATTTCTTAGCCATTTTCAGGCTGATGCTTTAAAGTATTTGGAAGATGTCTCTTCAGTTTCATCAGAACTGGCATTTTCTTACCAAGTACCCTTAATTTTAAAAATATCCATTAATATGGAGGTATTTTTGCCCTATTTGCATACCTTATGAACGTTATCAAGCAAAGTTTGAAAGCTGTACATTGTAATAATTTAATTTTGTTGAGTAGTTTGAACATATTGTTTATAGTTTTGCTTTTTCCCTTTTTTAGGACTGGATGGCAGTACTTCGGCCTCCGAAAGAGAGAGATTGATTAACCAGTTCAATGATCCCAGCAACACTTCTGTATGTCTCTTCCTTCTTTCCACGAGGTAAGCTGACTGCATGATCAGAAAATGGAACGGGGTATGTGATTAACTAGCGTGTGTGTGTTGGTGTAGTTTTTAGAAGCACATGGTGGGGGGGTAAGCTAACTTTTCAGCGCTTGTTGTCTTCAGAAGTTATTATCTCAGATGAGTTTATACCAGGGGAGTGAGCAGAAACACCAGCCCTCAAATAATAGAAGAGACACAGATGCAGCAGAACAGATGAAACATAAGGCCATGGTCAACTTTTATAATAATAACTTTTTTTTTTTAAGAGCTGGATGTTTGGGCGTGAATTTGATTGGTGCTAACAGAGTAGTAGTATTTGATGCTTCGTGGAATCCATGCCATGATGCTCAGGCAGTGTGTCGGGTTTATCGCTATGGACAACTGAAGCCCTGCCACATCTATCGGTTGGTTTCTGATTATACTTTGGAGAAGAAAATATACGATCGTCAGATCTCCAAGCAGGGGATGTCAGGTAGGCCAAACCTTCCATGCCTTTCCAATGGCTCTATGTTGGTATCTGTTTGAGCTTTGTAGTCCAGTTCTCACTTTTGTTTTTAGTTGTTATACAAGTGCAGGCATTTGGAAATGACACGATATAAGGAATTTCATTGGAAGGACAGCAGATGCAGATATATCAGGAGCAGCATTTCGATGCTTCTTTTAAAAAAATAATAATAATAAAAAGCAGTGTGTATTCTCCCTTTCTAGATCGTGTTGTAGATGACTTGAATCCGGTGTTGAACTTCACCCGGAGGGAGGTGGAGAACTTGCTGCACTTTGTGGAAGAGGAGACAGAACCTGCTCAGCTTTCGTTCAGTACCAGCAAGATTAAGGAATCTGTTTTACAGCTGGCCTGTATCAAGTACCCTCATCTCATCACCAAGGTAAAGGGGTGTGGAGGGGAGAGAGAATCCTATTGCAGCTACCTGTATTTTGGAAGCTAACTGCAAAACAAGTCTAAGAACATAAACTATGTTCTGGGTGTATGGTGCCTGCTGTAAATAGCACAAAAAGTGGGAGCTGTACTTTCCTGCTCTGTTTGGGAACTTCTCCATCAGTGTTACTGAAGAAAGGCAAGCTAAGTTCACTCTTCTGTTTTCTTTCTTTCCCCTAGTTTTCCTCCCCGTTTCTTAGTATGAGTATTTGTACTTTCCCGCTGATCCCCATGTTTATGGTGCAATTTCTAATGCACCTTTAGGAAGTGCTTACGTTGTAGAGCAAGCTACCCCATTACCTAAGATTTGAGAGCTATAACAGAGACAGCCTTTGGCATGGCAGAGCTCAACATCTTCATTTTGTGTCTTCACTAGTTCTCACTCCCCTAAATCAGCAGGCAAGCTTCTAGGAATGTTGATGGTGATCACCAGATACTACTAATGCTCTCAGGGAGGGCAAATATTAAATACCAGTTATTTAGAATAGTGCCTAAAGCTTCCCAAATGTTTTATGTAAACACTGGTTGGTTACTGCCAGGTATCCTGTAAAGGATTGTTGCTGTCTGTTTTTTTACTTTCTGCTTTCATGTGGGGTGTTGTTTTTTTTGGTAAAGGAGTGTGTTTTAAAATGATACCTCCCTGTGCTCTGGCCGCAGGAGCCTTTTCAGCATGAGTCACTGCTGATTGATCGGAAGGAGTGCAAGCTCACCAAGGCAGAGAAGAAAGCGGCCAAGAAAAGCTACGAGGAAGAGAAACGCGCCTCCGTCCCTTACACCCGTCCATCGTATGCTCAGTATTACCCAGCCAGTGACCAGAGCCTGACAAGCATACCTGCCTTCAGTCAGAGGAACTGGTGGGTACTTGAGTTTCTTTTTGTCCTGCTAGAGATGTCTGTCTATGGAGGAATGGCTAGTCTTGGTGTCCTATTTTGTCTCCCGTCTTAGCATTTTCCCCCTGGCTCTTAAAAATAGGGAGAAGAAAGCTGTTGCCACTTCTTAGCCACCGTGAATAATAGCAGGTGAGAGAAAGTCAAGCAAACAGATGGCTAGGTGGCCAGGGTTTGCTGTGTGGAGTCCAGTTGTAATCTGTGAACCAGCCTTCAGCACACTGAGCTCTTTGCGTAGGCCCCTACAAGTACAAGGCACAGCAATGGGCATTTCCTACTTGAAATTTTCAGAGTACTGTTTACAAATACTGATTGCTCGTAACCGAACTCTGAAGAAATTGAGCGTTTCTGTTCTGTATGTACTTTGTTATGGATTCTCCCCAGAAATGGTGCAACGAAAATCTGTGGTTTGTGTTAGTACATTGCAGATTTTACAGTCAAGCACATATAGATTTTCCAGAACTGGTACTGGGCGATAAAACACAGTCTTCAGATTAGAGGAAGCTTAAAATGTTACTGGCAGGAGTCAACCAAAGAATTACGGTCTCTGTTGCCAAGTTTTTGTTTTCTGCTATGAAAATAAGTGCTGAACTAATGTCCCATGTATAAATGTTAAGGTTTTAAAAATTTAACTCGCAGTTTTGGATCTGGATAAGCACTGGGATTTTTGTGGGTGTCAGTTATTGATTGTTTTGTGTTTGTATGGCTCGTAGGCGGCAATGAAGAACTACTCTACGATTTGTGCCTCAGGCTCTATTTTACCATATAAGACCACTTCTCTATAGCATGTCGATGGGCTTGCTTAAGTGGTAGGGATAACTTGCTTGGTAGGCACTTTTCTGAGAAGCCCCTGTCCATTACTTGTGGAGCTCTGTGGCCTGGGTGGTGTAGGATGGAGAGGTCCTGCTTTGTATTGGGAAGTTTTTCAGGATGGTCTCCTGGTCCCTTTCCCCTGTGTGATTCTGTTCAGTACGAGCTCTTCCATTTCTCTTCCCTTTCCACAGGCGACCAAGCCTCAAAGGTGAGGACAGACCAGTGGCAAGCGTACGTCCCGTTCAGTCCACCCCCATTCCTATGATGCCTCGCCATGTCACCTTGGGCAGTATGGGTTCAGCTTCTGTTTCCAATCCTGGTATCAACTTCCCCATCAACTACCTGCAGCGAGCTGGTGTCCTTGTGCAGAAGATCGTCACCACAACAGGTCAGTGTCTTCGTGTGCGTAAGGGTCAGGAAAGCGCTATGTGACTCTACTCCCGGCTGGCCAAGAGCAGCTGTGACGTCTGCCACTTAACGTTCAATAAGCCTTTGCCATGTGCTGATACCAAACACAGAGATGGCACCGTGCCTGCTCAGAGAGCTTTCCATCCGATGTAAGAAAGTAGAGCTGTGAAAATCATACTTGTTGGGGGAAAGCATAACGATGTCAACTGCCTTGAATAAGAGGTGTGTCCTGTGGCCCAAGTAAGCCATCTTGTGATTTTTAGCTGTAATAAGGTCTGCTACTACAGTCTTACCAAGCTGCTGCTTTGCCTTTTCCACACTGCCTCCTTTTCTCCAGCCGGCTTCTGAAGCTTTGTATTCAACAGTCAAAGATCACGTACAACTGCTTTCTTTGCCCCTTGTTCAGTCACATCTTTGCAGATGAGGAGGAAAAGAAAGGCCTCTCCTAGATGGGAGATAGTCCTGTACATTTGCTTATAACTGTAATGTATGAAACAGCTCTGAATCTGGGTTCTTTTGATTTCTTATGGTTAGGCTGCTTTGGGAACGAAGCAGCCCAACTATATGCAGGGTTGCAGCCCTCGACTCTGTCAGCATTAAAAAAAAAAAGGTTATTCACATGGCCATGTTTATCATGATATGGCTGTCATGTAGTCGGCCCCCATAGGAGTTTTGTGTTACATGGCAGTCTCAGTATTAGGCGGTGAGATCTTGTTTTCCAGCAGCTCTTTGACCCCAAAGGCAAAGCTAGTGGGGAACACAACTGGATGTTCTTGTAAGAGGCCCTTGAATGTCTTTTAATTCTTTGCCACCCTGGTTAGTCACATGACTAAATAGAATAGCAGAGAATTAAAAAAAAAAAAAAGTGACATCACTGGGTACCGAGTATCTCCCACCTGACTTATCATCAAGAGAGTCTGCCTTGCCTCTTGCAAAGAAAGGTATTGTTGTTTTAATCGTATAAATAAGCCAGTGCTTTACACGACTACAGAATGAGATCTAGGGAATCTCCTATTAAATTACGGAGGGGTGCACAAGAAGTCCAGCTATATTGCCATGTTGCATAAGAAGGCCCAGAGAACTGTAGGAGAGAAAGAGATGAACAGGAGGAGGCTGATCCGAGTAGACCGTGAACATGACCCTTCAGATACATCCTCTGATATCAGACTTTCTTTCTGGTTAACTCATCATTACTACTTGTCTAGGTTATTGAATATTCCTTCTCAATTGCTTACACACACACACACACCGCATCACTTTCAATACAAGCAAATACTGTTTCCTCTTCTAGCAGCAGGTACAGGAAAAAATTAAAATGCCCCCCCCCCTTTGAGTTCTGCTCTGTAAATGTTTGCCGTTTGTAAATGCTGTTTCTTCCATTTCAGATATCGTGATTCCAGGCACAAATACTTCCACTGATGTGCAAGCAAGAATCAGCGCTGGAGAAAGTATTCACATTATCCGTGGGACTAAAGGTAACAGAGGTAGCCTTCTGCTTTTGGAGCGGGGAAACATAAATGCGTTCCTCAGTTGTTCTTTAAGATTGGAGATGGGGAGGGTGAGATAGTCGAGATAAATAGGAAGCAAACTGTGTTTGCTGGAGAGATGTTCGCAAGACCATTTATTTAACCCTAAGTGGCTTTAACACTAAAATTTCCGTGCAGTATCGATCCACAAGCTTTCTGTTCACATCAGGATATTTTGGAGATGCGTCTTTAATCCAAGTTCACCAAAGCGAAGCCCACACTCGATAGCTGACTCTCTTTGTTCACCAGTAAGATTTTTTTCCCTCATTATACCTGATTATAGCTAACTTGGCTTCAGTCAGAAAACTTTAAATGGTCAGCCTCACAATTTTATGCTGGAAACTGAGCAAGGAAAGGAGATGCAGAGTGGGGGAGTTTAGTTTGTCAAGGAAGGATTTTTTGAACCGAGTCAGCACCAGCTCCCTTCTGACTGTCACTTGTGCCAGCTGCGTCTCATTCCATTTCCCATTTCCCTGAACAAGCAGTCCCCTTGGTTTCTTTACTTCCCCATGGCTAACTTAGACATACAGGACCCAACATTCAAGCCATTGCTATGCCCTCCTTAAGATACCCACTTCCCAGAGCTCTCTGCTCGTTGTGTGGATGTACGCACCCGACTTGCACAGGTAGCTTCAGCTGCTCCATGCTCCCAGGAAGACGCCTCCAGCCATCCACCACCATCACCACCACCCTGCGCTTGGCCATTCATCAGGGTCGCATTGGGGTGTGGCAGGGCTTTTTTGGAGAAAAAGCCCAGCAGGAACTCATTAGCATAATAGGCCACACCCCTGACAACACATATCATTAGCATATTAGGCCACACCCCCATGTTATCAGAACTGTGCTCATCCAGCCACACCCACCTTTAGCTTCTTATTCTGTTTGCTTTGTTGTCAAAACCCGGGGCTTTTTTTGTAGCAGGAACTTCTTTGCATGTTAGGCCACACACCCCTAATGTAGCCAATCCTAATGAGTTTCTGCTGTTAGTTGTGGCCTATTATGCTAATGAGTTCCTGTTGGGCATGGCCAACTCGGGAGCCAGCCGGAACTCCGTTCCTGTGCGTTCCTGCCCAAAAATAGCCCTGGAGTGTGGGCATATTAAATGCACATGTTTTGTTTGCTTTGTTTATGCCTGGCATTGCTCCCTAATGGGAACCCAGAGCATTTTGCATCGTCCTCCTCTCCTCCACCCTATGAGGCAAGTTAGGCTGAGAGAGAGAGAGTGTGACTGGCCCAAAGGTCACACAGCAAAGCTTCCGTGGCATGAGTGGGGATTCAGACTTGGGTCTCCTAAATCTATATTTAGGTCACAGTGTTAAGAGGAATAAACACTGATGTATGAGAAATGCAAGGGAAATTATTTCTGGGACCATCTGAAATCATCATTATCTTCCCAGTATTTGCTAAATGCTCACAAATTGCTTAAGTGCATGCCAGCAGCAGAAGTGGCCTTGGCTCCACCCACACATTTACATTCTGAAATCATCCCTTGCGAATTTGGTTAATGCAGCTGAAGTTCCTGATCTGTAGACTTACCAGTGTAGCGTGATCATCTATAACACTGATGTAAGGGGGTTCCTACTCTATAAGGTGGGTGTTTTCCCTGTTCAGTCTGTAACCGCCATTTTCCTTCTGATGGAGCTCCCTGCAAAGCCATCCTGTCACCAGTTAGAGATGGTTGAAGTTTGACATCTTCCACCCACCTGTTTTTTTAGGGACATACATCCGGACCAGCGATGGGCGGATCTTTGCTATCCGGACTACTGGCAAACCAAAGGGTAGTGAAGATCATCGCATGGTTGCCTCAGGTGAGGGACCTGTGCTCTCAAAAGTCTCTTTTGGTGGATTTCTCTCAAAAGCTGTCTGGGAGATAATGGGGTTGAATCCCTTCTAAATTCTATGCACAGAGGTACAATTCCCCGGCCTTCTTCCTGCAGTTTAGGCCTAAGATGACACCCCCCCCAAAGACCTGCTCCTGGGGAATCCCCAGAACTAGCATGGGGGGATGAGTTGAAGGGTTGCAGCAACAGGTGGTGAATCAGTTACCCCCCTCCCCCACCATACAGACTTTTTCCATGGGATCCAACCCAGTGTTCCTTTTCCTTAGCATTGCTCAGTTGATGGTGCTTTGAATCTCATGTTTCCTCTGCTGCCAATAGTATAAATTGACATCTGCTGCCAAGTCGTATGAATTGACATCTGATGTCAAAACTCTCCTATGACAGACTGTCTTTCCCCCCACTGACTCAGTTAGGCTGCTGCCTCAGACTGACCTATTGTAGTCTCTCGTTCGCAGGATCCCAGGGTCCATCTCTTGAATCCACAAGCAATGGGAGGCACAACGCCTCCTCACCCAAGCTTCCCAATTCAGAGGAGCTCACTCGGCCCATCTCCCCTGACAGTCCTGAGATCATCAGCGAACTGCAACAGTACGCAGAGGCTGCCGCCGCCCGAGAGTCCAGACATAACTCTCCCAGCACCCACACTGCACCTGGACATCCCACCCGGAAAGACAGTGTACCCCCCTTAGTGGCTCGTGGAACTGACCAACGGGCAGGAGCCCATTGTTTGGCTTCGTCATCCTCTTCAGCCCTGCCAGCCACAAGCCAGCACACCGACAGCCATTCGGTGCTGGACTTACGAGGCAACAAGCGCAAGTCGACGTCACCCTCCGGCCCAGAGGAGCCAGCTCACCGGCAGCAAAAGAAGCGTCCGCTCCCTACAGCAGTTCAGCCATACGAAAGTGGGTACCCTGTCTCTGGTGGGTTCACCATGCCCTCTGTCCCTTTAAACCACAACCTAACCCATCCATTTGCTCCCCAAGCAGGCAACTCCTTGTACATGGGCACTGGCTCCTCCTATTACCAGCTGCCTAGTTTGCTACCAGACCCTCACCTGGTGTTCCCTGTGACTACTGACCCTCTGTTGACAGCCGGCACCGCCAGTTCCTCTGCTGCTACCTCAGCCACTGCCAGTGTCCCCTCTTTCATGTTAAACCCCTCCATGACGGGGATGCTTTCAAACTACTCGCTGCCCTTCACGCAGTCACTCCTGCCTGAGCCCAGGATGTTCGCTCCTTTTCCGGCCCCCGTCTTGCCCAGCAGCCTTCCCAGGAGCATGGCCTCTGCCTACCCTGGCTTCATGTCCCCACATTCGGGATATCCAGCTGGGGGCCTCCTTCGGTCCCAGGTGCCTCCGTTTGACACCCATGAGGTCTCTGAGGTGGGCTGCAGTTCCAACGAGGATGAGGACAAAGACGATGATGTAATAGAGATCACAGGAAAATAACAGGCTTAGTCTCGGTTAGATCGCAGCTCAACCAGGAGGCAGAAATTCCTTACTGGACCTTTCTGGGGGGGGGGTCAGGATTTTGCATCCAGGACGCAGCAGAGGTGGAGGAGGCTGGGAAGGAGGTGGCATTTTTAGTTGTCAAAGATCTGCTTTAGTATGTGAACCTGTATTGAATGGACACCCCCTCCCCCCCCAAGGAGTGGGGAAAGAGGATTGGGGGTCGGGAAGCATCATTGCAAACCACAGGAGTGCCTCCTTGACTTTCCCTTCCATGCCGTCTGTCTCTGTTGTCTGAAAGGGAGACCTGCCATTTCGTTTCAGTGCCCTTTATCAGGCCTGGAGACACTGGGTTAATAATTCTGTCTGTGGAATAACTCTCGCAAATGAACTGCCTTATCTGTGAAAGTTCATTGCCCCGTGGTAATGGGGGGGGGGATGATGAGTTTGTGCCCTAGGACACATGATGATGAATAGCATTATTATTGTAGGGAGGGAGGTGGGGTTGGAAGGAGCAGGTGATGTGTAAGTGGGAGGGTGTGGGGTGGGGCAAGGGTATATGTGAAAATCAATTTGTCTTTCATCCTTCTGAAAACTCAAGGCAGACTAAGCCTGGTGGTCTCATTGAGTGATGACAGGAGTTGGGGAGAAGCAGTGCTGAAGTGCAACTCTCCCGCCGCCGCCGCCATCCCCAAGAGAACCATTGGAAGGCAAGGACCCCTTAGTAGGTTTGGCATCTTAAGCAGGGATGGGGTTAGGACTTGTGTCGGTCTTTTAGTGGGGTAGTTCTTGGTGGGGGAATTGTGAGGACTCCTCCAACCTCCTCCCCCAGCTTTTTGTAGTGATTACTCTCTCTCCGCCATCTTCCCGGTCGGGGAGAGGTTGTGCCCTCGGGTTTGACCAACGGGGGGGTTTGACCGTCAGGCTCTTGTGGACTGCAGTGATCTGAACTCCTGCAAGGAAGGGGACGCGCTTGAGAGCCTTCCTACCTGCATTCTCGTTGGCACTGTGATTGGACCGACCTTCTCCTTCCCTAGAGCTTTCTTAATTTATTTCCAGAAAGCCAAGTGTTTTAAGTTGAGGCTCTTTTTATTTTCCTTTTCTGCTTCTCAACTTATCTTCTTGACTGAAATCTGTGGCCTCTACCAAAAGCAGTGGTGGGTTGCAAGATGGTCTGTATGTGAAAGAAATGGGAAGACTGTAAGGGACTGCTTGACCAAAGCAGAGGCAATATGCAGGACCAAGAGAGAAGATCCCCCTTCGAGTCAGTCTCCGTGTTCCTTCAGTGAATAAGGCATCAATTCCTGCGTTGTGTGTGCCTTGGGGGGGGGGCATACATGATGGGTGTTTCAGAGGGTTAGTTTTCAGTATTATATGGATCTGTGCTTAGTCTCTGCCTGATCACTTTCGGTGACTCAGGTGCTAAGCATCAGTTAAGGTTGATGTTAAGTTGGTTCTCCTCCCCCCCCAATCTACTTAAAAGACTGGTCTAGATGAGCAAGTCCCCACCATTCCAGTAGATCCATGATGAGGAAGATTGCAAGCCTTTGGGGAAGTGAGTCTCCGTTGTTGCTAGGTTCTGTTCCAAGCTTCCTCTGTTACGCATTATCGCAAACGTCTGCATGGAGAATCCACTTGGCTGTTGTAGATGGTTTAATGAAGAAATCAGGTTGTGCCGGTTTAGCAGAAAACCCTCTGGCAGCCTTGTTGTCTGCTGGGAAAATACATGCAGAAAGAAAGGTTGTGCTTGGTGATTGATCTCCTGCGTTTCAGGCTTCTAAATATTGCCACCTTAGGGTTTGCTGCACATCAGTGGAATGTTACACTTGGCAAGGGGCCAGCATTGCCCAGAGCCTTGTGCTAAACAAGCCTTTCCAGGACTGCAGTTCTGGTGCTGTTCTTACATTTCCTTTGTTACAAAGAGATGAGTAGTTCCACGGCTGTGGTTAAAGTTGCCCACCTAACCCAACCTGGAAGCTGCTTCTGGCTTAGACACCCACATAATTTTGCATGAAAGCAGCTATCATGTCACAAACATCATGTGAGAACTGGGACTTTGCCCAGGCCATTGAAACTCTACAAAATACCTTAGTTCAAGAGGTAGTGGCTAGGTGTTCTGTTTACGGATTGGAGATGATTCGGAAAGAAAGCGCTCTCGCTCTCTCTCTCTCTCTCTCTCTCTCTCTCTCTCTCTCTCTCTCTCTCTCTCTCTCTCTCTCAGGGTGGGGGACAAGTGTGCATTTTATGAACCATTAAAAAAGCATCAAATGTTGGGGCTTTCTGACTGTCTTTCTCTGTTTATCGGACACTGTCTGTCAGACTTAACTTCACCATTCATAGAAGCCTTAGATTTACAGTTAGCTATGCAAATTACTTTAATTATTTTAAAATAAAAACATTAAAATAGTGCTTTCTTCTTTAACATATCCTAGGAGTTGAAAACCGAGGGGTTCTGAGCAAACTTCTGGACAACTTGTCTTTGGATGCACCATGGGAATAAAAAAACAAACAAACACAACCCCCCCACAAAAATAACAAAGCATATTAACTGATGGTGTCCATTCGCGTTTCTCCAAAGACTTGGCCATGGTACGTCTGTGAGTCATGCCCTTTTGTGATTTGTATGTGTCCACCTCATACAAAATACGATGACACTGATTGTATTGCAAACTCACTCAGATGTCTTTTGCAACCCTGTAAGTGGACGCGGGAACTGGATATAGGCAAGAAGTCAGACCTGCTGAAGCTTAAACAGTTTTTTTGGAGAAATATGACATTTAGGTTTCAGGCAGATTCAGTCTTCAGTGTGTGTTGTTTTTGGCAGCATAGCTGATAACGAGACATCCTACTGGATCCTGTCTTAACTTCCGTTCACAAGACAAGCTAACATGCTCTGGATGCTACTTCAAACAGTGCTTCTACCTGATTCTCTTGTTCCCTTGCAAAATGTACAAAGTTTCAGGAAAGTGAATTGGACTAGGCAGGTTTGTTTCACGTTACAGGGACTAGATTCAGCTGGGATTAAATAAACTAGGCACCGTAACCATCTTTTAAATAGGAATGGAGAATAAGGTAGCTATTAGCAGTAGGAAATGGTGTACATCTGTAACTTACTTCTCTGGCCACTGGATGGCAGTGTTGCATCACATGGAATATCTAGGCTTTAAAATGCCTTATTGTGGGGGAAATTGGCTTTTGTATTTGGTTAAGAAAGCTATGAAAAATGTTAAGTCTATCTTTGTGCATCTCTCTGTCTCTGTCCCTCTTTCTCTCCCTCTCTTCCCCTCATCTAACCTTCTTATGTTTGCGGAATGCTGATAATATATTTGCACCACTGGAGGGGGGGGGGGATCCACATCCTTATTGTCAGTTGACATTCAGTTAAATGAGCCACTTTTTATAAACTTTGGAGATAATTATGTCTGTTGGGATAGATGCCTGTACTTCAGCAAGTGCCTGAGCTTGGGTCTCTTTCCCACCCGTAGGGATTTAAACTCATCTGTCTCTGAGAATTTAAAATTGTTATTCCCCAGCGCTTGCCAAGAAAGGATCCCCTTGCCTGGTAGCGAGGAAGATGACATGCTTCTGCTGCTCTGGACTCTTTAGTACCCCTCTCCCAAATGTTCACGCTCATTCAAGATGCTGTGTTTTTTAGCAACAGAAGGGTGGCTGCTGTGCCTTGTTTTTGAAGGTCAGAAAATCCTCACCAGGGAGTTGAGTCAGAATTACTGAGCAGCTTGCATGTTCAGAAGGTTATTGTCATGGCAATTGAGAAGCCACTCTTATGGCTCTTGTTGCCGGAAATTTTGGAATCCACCTGTAGCCCCTGGGAGTCCCCTTCTCCTTAATTTCCAGTAACATTTCTGAATTTGGATGATACGTATTCCTGAGGGTTCTACTTGGGCCTCTCTCCGACTTGCCCTCCTAAACTCCAGACTACAGAACAGAGGAGATTAGTTTGTATATAGCTTTTTACTGGTACTAATATAGAGCCACTACAAGGCCTTAGGATGTTGAGGGGGGAGGGTTCCCTCTCTTACATACCCTAGAGCTGAAGTCATAGCTGGGCTGTCCTTTTTCAGACTACTTTTATTGCAAGATGTTTTCCAAATACTGTTAGTATTTCAGCAGTGGTTTTAGAGCAACAGCATGGTACAGAATGAAACTGCTCCCCTGTAAATACTAAGGGGAAAGGAGTGACCTTAAACTGTGATGTCTCCCAGCTCTTCATACTGTACTACTCAGTTCCACTCCATTATTGGGCAACAAACTAAAGTTTTATGTGGGCATAACACTGCCTGTGATAAAGTACCTTTCTTTCCTTTTGATAGGCACAAACCTTGGCGACTTCTCCCTTGCCAATAAGAATTATACATGTGTATGTGCACGCGAGTTTCTGGACTTTGTCTCTTTGTCACGCTCTTCTGTGACCAAGTGATGGAGCCCAGGGCGGGCAGGCTCAATACTCACATGGCTCCTATTGAGTTCTATGGGACAGAGTAAATAGGCTGCTATCAAAGAATGCAGATAAGGGAGGGGGAAACTAGCCTACCGCCCCAGCCGGTGCTGCCTGGAGTCCCTGCAATATATGGGCCTTTTCTGCTCCCTCATAATGATGGGCATTTTGCTGTTTTCTGAGGAAGCTGACTTGTACTGACAGTGAATTATTATGGGATTGAATTGCAGCAGTGCAGATGTTCCTGGGAAGATCTTGTAGCAGCTCAATAATACCTTACATGTATTTGCACTGAAACCTGAGTTGATCTGTCTAGGCACTGTAGATGTGATTATTAAATTGAAAAAAGCTTGATCTGTGTACCCGCTGAACAACAGACATATCCATCAGTAGATGCACAAATTCTCTGGTGTGTGTTGTTGTGTTTTTTTACATTAATCCATGGTAATCCAAGTTTGTTGGTTTACCAATAGGGCACTTAGTCCTGGGAAGTTCTGCTCCTTTTTATTCAAACGGAAAGAAAAGTCTTTTGTAAAAGGGGAGGATGCTGCAAGTTTAGGGAGGATTGGTAAGGAGTAGAAGCGGAGTAAAGAGCAGGCAGAGAAAGAGGGGGGATATTTTTTTGTACTCTGTAATAAAATAAGACCACTAACCACTGCCCACAGCTGCATTGCTTTTTTGGTCTTAGATTGTTAGCTTCCCAGCTTGTGTTCTGTCCCTTCATGAGATCCATTTGTACAGGGGAGCTGAGTGAATCCAATGGTTTTCTTGATTTGTTTTTGTTCCGCCTTTAGTTTGTGGCCTGTCTTTTTTGTGATTGGAAAAAGGCATTTCCATAGCAGGGTCAGTTGGTCGGCTGGTTGCACTCATGGTCATGTGCTTCCCTCATCTCTCTGTCTAAAATGGGACATGCTCACCCAATCTCCCAGAACAGAGACATCGAACAATTTTGTTGTTTATATGATGTATTTATTTTTACTTGTGTTTCATGTCATTTTTTTAAAAAAATAATAAATTGTAAGTTGGTATAATGCCTATCAATTCTCTCTCCTTTTTTGAAAAAAAAAATAAACTTCAAACATTAGAACTAGTCCAGTGATCTTAGTTTGGAATGAATTTGGCCTTTGTTTTTGAGCTCACAGTAGTTCTTGCACAGACAAACACACCTGGGCTAATTCTAGTCTAGAGTGCCCTGTTGAAAGCAATGGGCAACTAATTGTTCCATTGGTTTCAGTGGTACTTAAGTCACGCTTAACTTCAGCTGGATGGGGGCATTTGTCATGCAGAAGCTGACGGATAGTGGATATTTTTAAGTGGGAAGTAGCCTGGGCCATCCTGGGTGGGCTACTGATAGACACTGCTAATCAGGAAATTCATGAGCAAATTCAGTGCAAGTAGCTGAGATAAACTCAGTTCTTCACCCTTGATTCAGCCAAATATAACTGGGTAATGGGACAGCCTGTTTGTCAGGGAATGGTATTATCTCCCGTTTCAACCCCTTTCTCCTACCTCAGAAATTCACAGTACTTTGTGCGCTGTGGTCCTTGGTTGCTTGTTGAAGTAACTGGAGAATAAGTGGGCATTCACCCTCAACACTTTGAAGCACAGACCACATTAGCCTGATAAACATCAAGTCTGTATCCAAGCCGTAAAACAGTACTGGCTACAAGAAAATGGTTTTTATGTGTGTGGGTTGTTGGACAGGGAGCTCTACTGCTCTTACAAATAGCAGGCAGTTTTAATGTCTGCACAGCTTTCTACCTTCAGATTGTCACTCTCACCCTGCCCTTGTTCCTTAGCATAAGCTTTTCCAGCATATGGTCTGACAGTGTACTGGATACTGGCAAATTAACAGTCAGTAACTTCTTCTGGATCACTTCCAGTAGGTCAAGGAGGAGGTGGCTTGCCTCCAGGATTGGCAACACAAGGAATTAACAGGATGTATGGGGTTGCAACAAACTTGAAACTTGATGCTTCAACTGGAGGCAGCTCTGGTTAGGAGCTCTCTGAGGGAGGGAAGTGTGACAAGTCTTCCACTGGGCACTGCTGCTGGTCTTCGTGGCAGTCATTGCTCAGTAGGAAGGCACTAGCCATGCCCTTTAGTTCTTGTACAAGCTGTGACAAAATGAAGCCCGAGAGGCAGGCTTAAGTCACCTCATGCCCTCTTGAAAGAGCCGTGCTGTGGCCTGCACGCATATCAGTCCCACATATATTCCTACACAGAGGAGTTTTTGGAGAAAAACAGTAACCAGCCCTGTTTTCCATAGCAATTGCACAGGCTGGTGGTGGAAAAAGTGCCATCCAGTCACAGCTGACCCTGTAGGGTTTTCAAGGCAAGAGACCTTCAGAGGTCGTTTGCCGTTGCCTGCCTCTGCATAGTGACCCTAGTCTTCCTTGATGATCTCGCTTCCAAATACTAAACAGGGCTAACCCCTGCTTCTAAGATCTGATGGGAATGTCGTGAGCGAATTCAGTGAGAGTAGCTGAGATGAACTTGAATGTTTATGAAGCCAGATAATCTGTATAATAGTATTCTGGCTGTATGACGCTTCTTAACATGGTCAAATTTACACTCTCAGAAATTGTGATACTCTCGTGTCCAATTACCCAATATTGTTAGTTTTCCAAAGTCTTATCAACATGTAATACAAACTTTTAACTATATTATTAACTTGTTAAAATGTTGCTTCATTTTCTTCTGGCAGAGACAAAAAAAAAGTTTATTTGAGGCATCAAAATGACAGGTGAGTACAAGAGTGTCCTAGTTCAACATTTCAGTAAAACTGCCAAAAAAAAAAAAAATCTACACTACAATTTTATTCCAAGTTAGCAGCAATCAGTTCAAATTTTAACAAGTGTATGCTGAGGTAGAGTTCAGTTAAGTTAACGGTGGGGAATATTGTTTCAGTTTCACTGAAACTATTTGATGATTATCTGCCAATTTTGAAAATGGTGTCTCCTTGTTAAAAAATATTTGAATAAAATACCAAAGGAAATAAGAAAAGGAACTAGCATATATCTGCCATGGTGTGTAAGGTCCAAAGACTAAGGTCCCTTTAATTCCAGAAGACCCACTCCTCCGCCCTCAGCTTTTCTTTATTTTTCTGACCTGGCCATTATTTAGTTTCCGACCAGTGGGCCTTAGCAGCATTATCCGACTGGTTGTCCCACTACTGGTCTTAAGGTTTTCCATGCTAGTTTTACCTGATAACTCCCTTTAAATCAGCACTGCCAAAATCATTTTACATAGAAAGCATTTTCTATCACTGACTTATAAAGGCCCTCCCCCAGAGCTGTGGGGGTGGGTAAGGAGAAAAGCTGCTAGGCTAAGGGCGGGGGGGGGGGGGGCATTTA